GGCAAGGGCCCAGGCCGGCCTGTCACCTGACCCTGATGGAAAGTAGGTGACAGGCCGGCCTGGATAGTCAGATAACACCTTGCCTGGAAGCAGGACGAAGGAGGCGGCGGGGCTGCCTAGAGGGCTGGGGCCAGTTGCTGGGTGTGTGAGTTAGTTTTTCCTCTGGCTAGGAAGAAGGGAGTGTAGCTGGCTTGCAGGACTGGGCCCCGTTATCCCCAAGATTGATTGTACTGACTGCTCCTGGTTCCTGTAACAAGTCTGTGCTACGCTGTCCCTGTGAACCAATAAACTTTCTGTTCTACCTGCTGGCTGAGAGTCACATCTGACTGAGGATGGGGTGCAGGGCCCGGTGACTCTCCCACACTCCGTGACAACATGTGACTACGGCCATCTTGGCTGGCGCAGCAGGGACTGAACCAGAGCTGCTATAGCTTGGCTAAAGAGCCAAGACTCCCACGTTGTGACAGCAACATGTTCCTGTCCTTTTTTCAGGGTGACCAAGAAGGAAAGGTTCTGTGAGAGGACATGAAGTAATTTGAAACATGCCAAGGTCTCCATGTTGAAGATGGATGACACCTAGGCCATGTCTAGACTACATCCCTTTTTCGATAAAGGGGTGTAAATTAGGCATGTCGATATTGCAAATGAAGCCAGGATTTGAATTTCCTGTGCTTCATTTGCATAATAGCGGCTGCCGCTTTTTTCCGAAACGGGGCTTTTTCGAAAAAAACCCAGCAGTTTAGACAGGGCATTTTCGACAGAAATGCCCCGTTTCAAAAAAGGAGTACAGGATCTTTCGAAATAGGGCATTTCTATCGAAAATGCCCTGTCTAAACTGCCTTTTTTTGTTTTTTGTTTTTTTAAAAAGCCCCGTTTAAAAAAAAAAAAAAGCAGCAGCTGCCATTATGCAATTAAGCACGGGAAATTCAAATCCCAGCGTCATTTGCAATATTGACCTGCCTAATTTACATCCCTTTATTGAAAAAGGGATGTAGTTTAGTCGTAGCCCCAGTGAGCTAAGCCTGCATGTAAACTTTTTTGTTAAGAGACATCTTTTCTATGCAGTGCTTTCCTTCTTACTTGGCATTATGAAGGCTGGTCATTGGTTAACCCTGGCATTGCCCCCGCCACAGCAGAACTGCAGGTGTGGAACGAAAGTCAGTTATGCTGAGGTGATCACAGGGAATTGCAGAAATCGGTAGCCTCAGTCTGGGGGAAGAAGATGGGGAGAACCTGCCCCAAGGAAGGTGATAGCTAGAGGACTGAAGCTTGAGTGGAGTCTCTTGAGGCAGCCTTGAAGTGATCAAAGGTGGAGTTACCTCAAAAATGTGACAGTCTAGAGCTGTGGTTCTCAACTGGTGGTCCATGATGACTTTTTTCATAGGAACATTGTCCAAAGTCACACGGCATGAGCAGGTGCTGCCGTTAGTCTGTTTTACGCCGTGTTTACAAGCATGCGGCGTGTCATCCATAGCGTCAGCTAGGATGCAACCGCATTGTGTTGCCAGTAACTTCTGTCTGAGGCTTTGAGCGTCAGTGTAGCTGCCGCTGTTGTACTGAGCGGTTGCTGTGTTGTTCGTCCTGTGCTACATGTGCTGGAGGTGGTCCACGAAAATTTTTTGATTGGCCTGGTGGTCCGTGGACTGAAACGAGTTGAGAACCACTGGTCTAGAGGGAAACCTGTAAAGTGTACCGAGCAATGGGTTTAATAAAAAAGCTGTGGAAAGCCAAACATGTGAGGGGTAGCATTCTTGGCTGTAGTTTGCTTTCTTTTATGTGCTTTGATTTTGGCTAGATAGGTAAAGGGCTGACTTCAGAAGTAGTGAGCACCTACAACAAAATGGCTGGTGTCAGGTTCAGCACTTGTGACTGTTTTCTCCTCCTACACGTCCTCTAATTATTGTAGTAGAGGACAAGTTGCATATATGCTTATACATCACTTTCCTCTTGCCTAGATTAGGGTCCCCACATGATTTGGAATGATCTGATCTATAAACTTCCTTTTGTTATGACAACCCTTTAATAAAACCCTTACCTCAGGAACACTTTCAGTGATATTTGTCTCCTTAAATTCCGGGCTGTTGTCATTCAAATTTCCAACGGTCATTATTACATTCACAGAATTGACCTGATGCGGAGGTTGGAAAAGGGGAGAAAAATCACAAATAAAGTAAGTCAGGAAGGGCGCTGACTGGTAGGCATGAGCTAAGAAGACAGTGTGAGGAGCAGAACTGGGTCTGGACTATGTGCATTTGGGCTGTAAACTGAATCAAGGCATGGGATTGAAATTAGGTATGATGGCACAGAAATCTCACAAGCACTGGGTTGGTTTTTCATTTGTTTGTTGGGTTTTTTTCTTACTCTTTCCAGGAGGAAAAACAATATTTTAACCAGGGGAATGAGCAATTTCCTCTTAAAGGGTATGTGTTGGGAATAGTTATGGTCCAAGCCAAGTGATGGTGGTGGGGGTCTGCTTTTAGTTTCTAACTAGCAATATGGCATCATATTAGAAATTATACTCACTGTCACACCATCTCTCTGGCAAAGCAGGGTTACTAGTAATACCGTTTCTTTCTGTATTTTAAAAACAAAAATAAAGTCTGTCACTTTAAAAGCATCATCGTGGCATCAATATCCTCCTCAGGCAGGACTTACTCAGGTCCTGATGCAACAAAGCAATTGAGCACATGCTTTTATACCTTTAAGTGGGAGTTTAAATCCCATTGACTTCATCTGGGAGTCTGGGTACAAGTCTCATTTGAAGTCAGTGGAATTTTCAGATATGCTTACAATAAAGCTAAGGAATAATAAGTTCTTTGCTTCAGCTGGGCTCATACATTTTTCTTCCTTTGCTTCAGCCTTGGGCATTGAGACTTGGGCATTGGGTTACATGCCCCCTGCTTGGGGCTGAAGCCCTTAGGCTTTGTCCCCCCAACCCCTCACCCCCATCAGGGGCTTGGGCAGGCCCAAGCTTCAGTCCCCCCTTCTGGGGTTGTGTAGTAATTGTTATTGTCCAAAGCAGGTCACAATGCAGTGAAGTAGGAGAACCCCTGCTCTAATGGATGTGCTTGGGGGCAGGGCAGTGAGAGAGAGGTTTCTGCTTATACAGATATCAATTAGCCTAGCTTCTTTCTTCATAGCTACTTCTCTCCCCATAGCTTGCTTCCTCATTACAGTGAAGCTAGCTGGAAATTCTGCCACAGATCCAGGTAAATTAAAATAGACGTTTGTACTGAACAGTGAGTACAATGTCCCCCTGTGACACGGTGGTCCTACCACACCACACCACACCCCGGAAAAAAGCCATATATATGTCCTCAGGAGGCTAGAGTAGCTTTGCAGGAATTGACCAGAAAGGCCTACAAAGGGAGCTGAAAACCGTGCACCCCTTACAGCTGCCATCAGGCACCCCCCCATCAGTTGGCACCCCGGGCAGCTGCCCGGCTAGCCCACCCTTTAGTCCGGCCCTGCCTGCACAGCTGATCCTGGGATCAGCTTTGCGGCGCTGCCGTGCATGGAGCCCAGGGTCAGTTGGGGCTCCCCAGCAGATCCCGGGCTCCAGCACGGCATTTCTACGGAAACTCGGATCAGCTGGAGCATCTCCAGCTGACCCCGGGTTCTAGGGAAATGCCGTGCAGAACGCACCGTCAATTGGGGAGTCTCCAGCTAACCGCAGATCCACATGGCATTTCAAATTGGCAGCACAACATGGGAACCCCAGGCTTCATGCTGCGCTGCCACTTTGAAATGCATTTCAAAGCTGGCAAGCCTGCCTGCATCCCGGAGTCTACAGGACTTCCCACTGGCCCTGGGCTGCATACTGAGTTCCGCATTCCTCCACTGAGATGTACAAGAGCCCCTGTGTAGTTGATGGAAATTCCATTGATAACTCGACTAACCGTTCTTAAAATCCTTAGCATTTATCTACATGGGTGAGGGCACAGTGGGGAAAGGCAAGCCTGAGGCCCTGCCCTTCTACAGCCTCCCCCTTGTGGAATCAAGCCCAGCCCCCATCCCAGGTTACTGCCCCCAACTCTATACTTCCCAGGTGGCCAGAGCTCCTGGGGTAGCTGCACATCATCCTTATCCTTCCTCGGTGGCCATGGAGCTGAGCTGCCCCGCTGTGGCCTCAGCTGTCTCAGGCAGCCAGTGGAGAGTCTAGGCAGTTTTAGGAAGGCAATGCCATCCCTTGTCTGTTACCCATTCCGCACATTTATCTACATTGAATTTCATCTGCCAATTTGTTGCCCAGTCACCCAGTTTAAAGAGATTCTATTGTAACTCTTCATAGTCAACTGTGCACTTGGCTATCTTGAGTAACTTTCTATTATTTGCAGACTTTGTCACCTCACTATTTAACCCTATTTCCAGATTGTTTATGATTATGTTGAACAGTACTGGTTCTCATACAGATCCTGGGGAATCTCCACTATTTACCCCTCTCCTCTGTGGAAATTGACCCTTTATTTCTACCTGTGTTTGCTATTTTTAATCAATTTCTGATCCTTGAGGGGACCTTCCTTCTTATCCCATCACTGCTTAGTTTGCTTAAAAGCCTTTGGTGAGGAACCTTGTCAAAGGCTTTCTGGAACTCTGTACATTATCAGAGCCAGATTAAAGGGGTGGGGCTAGCCAGGCAGCTGCCCGGGGCGCAAGTAAAGCTCAGTCCGGCACTGGTTGTTATGGTTGATCCACTGCATCACCCTTATCCACATGCTTCTTGACACCCTGAGTGAATTCTAATATGTAGGGCTGACGTAGTTTTGGTCGTCAGCAGAAGGGATTGAAGCTGCAGCCTTGGGAGCTAAAGCCATGTGCCTCTAGCATCTGAGCTAAAAGCCATTTGTCTCTCAGCTAAGGCGGTACAGCAGACATCACACTCTCCCTTGTCAGTGGTCTCAGTACCTCTCAGTTAGAAATAGACTGGGTGAAACATGATTTCCCCAGCATAGCTTGTTCCCCCACATATCTGATCATTCTGTTCTTTACTGTAACTTCAACCACTTTGCCTGGCTGTGGAAAAAGATTGGTGTTACATTACCTATCCTCCAGTCATCTGGAACAGAAGCTGATTTGAGCCTTAAGGTTACATACCACGTGTAGTAATTCTGCAATTTCATATCTGAATTCCTTCAGAATTCTTGGGTTAATGATATCTGTTCCTGCTGGCTTATTACTGTTTATATACCAATTTGTTTCAAAACCTGTTCTCCTGGCACCTCAATCTAGGACCATTCCTCAGATGTATCTCCTAAAAAGAATGGCTCAGGTGTAGGAATCTCTCTCCTATCCTTTGCAATAAAGACTGGTGGAAAGAATACATTTAGCTTCTCCACAATAGCCTTGTCTTCCTTGAGTGCTCTTTTAGCATCTTCATTGTCCAGAAGCCCCCACTGATTTGGGGCAAGGCTTCTTGCTTCTGATAGACTTAAAAAGGTTTTGCTCTCAGTTTGTACCTTTTGCTAGCTGTTCTTTCAATTCTTATGGGGCCAGCACAATCTGTACTTTTACTCCTGACTTGACAAAGTTTATGCTCCTTTCTATTTTCCTCAGTAAGATTTGACTTGCAATTTTTAATTGCTCTATATACTCGAACATAAGCCTAATATTTTTTTATTAAAAAATGGTGCAGTAAAGAGCAGAGGTCAAATTATGAATGGGTCTTTGTGTTTTATCAATTTTTTTAACTTGGGGGGAGGGGGGAGAGAGGTTGGCAAACTTAAGTTCCCATCCCAGAAAGGCAAACTGCTGGCGTGCTGGGATGTTTTATGTACCTGGAGTGTCTGCAGACACAGAGCCCCTCAACTCCCAGTGGCTGTTGTTTGCTATTCCAGGTCAATGGGAGTCACGGGAAATGGTGGCCAGCACGTCCCTTGGCCCACACTGCTTCCTGCAGCTCCCATTGGCTGGTAACGGTGAACCCCAGCCAATGAGAGTGGAGAAGCTCTGTGCCTGCAGATGGTTCAGGTAAACAAAATGTTCCAATGTGCCAGTGGCTTTAGCTGATGAGCTGAGACTGGAAGTTTGCAAACCACCAATGTAGAGTTGGCTTAAGAATGGGTCATTGCAATTTTTTTTAACTGGTGGGGGGTTGGCTTATGAACAAAAGGGCTTATGATCAGGTATATACCATATATTGTTTTTCTCTCCTGCCTCTTTAATACAGTTGTTTACCCATGTGTGGCATTTATTTGGTCCACTAACATTTTTAATTATCATTTGTGGCATACATTTAGGCTTTGTCTACACTACCAGTTTTTGCGGCAGAAAATATACTAATGAGGGACTCATTAGCATAAGTCACAACATCATTAGCATATTTTCTGCCATTCCTTTTTGCACAAGGGTTTTTTGTGCAAAAAGAAACAATGTAGCCACTTCCGGTTTGCACAAATGGGGGGCTTTTGCGCAAAACCGAAGTGGCTACACTGCTTCTTTTTGTGCAAAAAACACTTGCGCAAAAAGAAACGGCAGAAAATATGCTAATGATATTGCAACTTATGCTAACAAGTCCCTCATTAGCATATTTTCCTTAGCAAAAATTTGCAGTGTAGACAAAGCCTTAGTTTGAGTCTTGTATTATGATGTTTTTAAAAAGTTTCTATGCAACTTGCAGGCCTTTCACTGTTGTAACTGTTCCTTTTAATTTCTGTTGAGCCCCACTTTTGTGTAATTTTCCTTTTTGAAATTAAATTTGACTGTGCGGGGTTTCTTTGCTATTTCCCACTCCCCACTTCACAAGGATGTTAGTTTAATTATATTATAATAGGTGAACGGCTCAGTAACAGCAATATTCACCTCTTGGACCTGAATACCACTTAGGATTAAATCAAGAATTGTTTCTCTCTTGTGGGTCCCAGAACTAGCTGCTCTAAGAAGAAGTCACGAATGGTGTCTTTAGATGCCTTATCTCTGCATCCCCTCCTCAGGTGACATGCACCAAGTCAAGATGGGGCTAGCTGAAATCTCCCTCCTTTGTTGTATTTTTCCTGGTTTTGTAGCCTCTCTGACCTCCCTGAGCCTTTACACAATCACTGTCACTATCCTGGTCAGGCAGTCACTAGTATATTCCCACTGCTGTATTCTTACTATTCAAGCATGGAATTTCTATTTGTAAAGATTCTATGGCACAATTTGATTCATTGACTATTTTTACTCTGCTTCACTCTATATACTTTCTTTCACATATATCTCCACCATGCCCACCTGCTTTATCATCCCTATATATTTTGTATCCTGGTAATGCTGTTTCCTGTTAATGGTCTTTGTTCCATCAAGTTTCTGTGATTCCTATTAGATCAATATCCTCTTTAATTCCAGGCATTCAAATTCACCTATCTTACTATCTAACATTTATATAAAAGCATTTATAAAATTTGTCAGTATTTAGTAATCAACCTTCATGTGACGTAATCGTATTACGGCATTCTTTTTTTTTTTACTTGTCTGTTTCACTTCAATTTGTACCTGTATTTTATCAACTTCTTCTATCCTTTCATTTATAATACAAAATGGAGAGTCCCCTTTAATAAATTTTTCCCTATGAGATGTTTATGTCCAGCCCATGTTCTCCCTGCACCTCTTGGTTTTCCTCTAGACCTCAGGTTAAGAAGAGAGAGAGATGGTGGGAAAGAGAAAGTTCTAGTTATACAAACGAGCACTATTCAGGATGCCGAATGTCAGAATAATGGAAATGTTGACGCCATTTTAAAATCCAGTTGTACTGTGACTCAGATCACATCTCTTTCAGATAATCTGTTCTCTATATCAGAAGAGCATTTTACAACATTAACTCAGCCACTAAGTGTGTCTTTCTTTCCAGTTAAAATCTTACCTCATAATCCAAGGAATCAGTTAGAATCAAGTCTGTGCCAAGAATTTTAAACCAATGGGAATCCTCTGAGGTTTCAATTGTTACTGTGACACCAGGATTCATTGTAATGGTGGTAACAACCACTTCAGGCAGATTGTTTTCATTTATTGTTGGCTTGTCATTTCCTACAGAACATTCTGGTGAGGGGAAGGGGGAAAAAAAAGATCATTTGTGTCGGAGTCAGCACGAACCTGTCAGCCGGTTCTGTCTGGGTGTTGGAACCATTGGACTGGATTGGACTCATGGTCCAGTAATCTATCGCTAGTGGGACTCAGCACCAGCTCCTTCAGAGACCCCCGCAATAGGCAGTTATGGAATAACCTGCTCCGAGGGAAAATGTCCTCTGTAGGACTCCACAGAGTAGACCCAGCCTTACCTCCGGTGCCCTGTGCCAGAACTTGTGTTAGAGGCAGCAGCAGAAAGAGCACTACAGCAGGGGACTGATCCGCAAGAGCCATGTGAGAAGCAGAAAGAAGCCCACGTCTTGGAGCAAATCTGATCCACCACTTTTTCTTTCTGTGTTGTCACTGAAGCCTGGTCGTGCAGTCGCTGCTCCAGTAAGGAAAGAACATCGCCTGTCTGAGGCAGACTCCCACTTGCTGCACTTCAACCTTTGCCTCCCTGCTTTATTGTTTAACTTATTTATGACTTATTTACTGGTTCTGGGTTTCACTATGCGATAAGCAGTGAATCCCACTTTCTCCTCGGCTCTGGATCTCTGGATTTTCAATGCCGAGGGGTCCAGCAAAACTAAAGTATCCCACCTGCTTTGGGATTTGGTGTTGAATGTCCACAAATTAACATAGTGAGGGGGTGGGTGTTGGCACGTTTCAAGTTCTGTCTCTTCCCGTGCTTCTCAGTGGCAGGTAGAGCGCATGCTGGTGGGTCATAGTGAGCCGATGATTTGAGGCAAGACTGCACTTCAGATGTACCAGAGACACACTCTCTGCTCCATTGGGGATGTTTCATGGTGGAAATAATAGGGACTTAAGGAATACTTCTCTGTCAGATCAACTCGCTGCCGGCCAGCACTGTCCTATACAGCCCACATCAGCTCAGCTCCATAGCCAGCTGTGTTCTCCAGTACATTATCTATGCTCTCCTCCTGCTTCTCATCCCAGAGCATTCTGGGATGTTGAAATACTGTGCACATTCTTGGCAGGCCTGGGTACAGCAATGGCCTGGGAGCCAGAACTACAGCTTTGTTTGGACCAGCAGGGCGCTCATGTTCTCCTCATTTCACGAGGAGTAACGGTAGTTCGAACTAGGAAGCCTAGTTCGAACTACCTAGTTCGTGCCCCGTGTAGCCGCGCTGCACGGGGTTCGAAGCAGCGGGGTTTTAAAAATGGCGGCTCCCCGCTTATGCAAATGAAGCCCGGGAAATTCAAATCCCGGGCTTCATTTGCAAGTGCGGTATGCCTACATTATCCTCCTAGTTCGAAATAGTGGGGTAGTGTAGACATACCCTAAGTTCTAGGCCCTTGGAGTTTCTCCATGAGTATATTACTTTTCCATCTAGTTATTATGCTTCCAACTGGATTATTGTGGTGATAATAAAAGTTTTCTCTTTTCTTCTTTTAACCTGGTATTGGTTAATTTTTGTGTCCTGGTTTGTACTGTAGGGGTGAGATTTCCCAAGTAGTCTCTCCCTGATTTCTTTAGCATATTTAGCTGGTGGCAGTGGAGATTTTATCCCCAAATCTAGGTTGTTGAGATTTTGGGGGGAAGTTTTATACCAAAGCCTGGTAGATAAGGTTTTGGGGTACTTTTGCTGGCCCCCACTCCTGCATTTATTGTTCCAGAGTGGAACCATGACAATGTGAGTCTGAACGGCCACGCAGGATGCTGTGGAGGATTGCACATCTAATTACTAGAGCCGCATGGCACGGCTCCACTAATCCAGCGCCTCCTCCAGAGAACACAGAGGAGGTGAGTTGGTGGGTAGAATAAGGGATGGGTGGGGGTCAGTGGAGAGAGGTGGGGGGACTGGAGGGGATGGGTGGGGGTGCAGGAGGTGAGGGGGAAGATGAGTTAGAGCCTGACTGTAAAGTGCAGGAAGCAGCAGGGAGAGACAGAAGGAACAAGTCCCCCTCCCCCGGCCATTATACCAAACCTGGAGTTGACTCAGAGCTCATGCTACCAGGAGGGAGGTGCTCCATCCCCCAGGTGTGTTGGTTGGAGCCACAGCAGCCGTGGAGAGGCACATCTCACCCGGCCCTGCCCCAGAGCTTGCACCCCCAGCCAGAGCCATCGCCCTGCATTACAACCCTCTGACCTAGCCCTGACTGAGCCCCACTCCCGTACCCCAATCCCTTAGCCCCACCCCTGCCACACACTGTCCATGTGCGGAATGACTTATGTGATGATACATAATCTTGGGGGTGCCCCCCATACCCTCCATCATGTGGTGAGGGCATTGTCCCCAGACCTGCATTTACTCCAGTTCCCTGCACATAACAAGTCATTCTGCCCATGGACATGACAAATTAGAGGGATCACTGGCAGGGACTGGTGCAGACAGTCTTCCATCAGCCTCTCGCAGAGACAGATTACCTGTGCCTCCTGCCAGCGTAGATCATGTCTCCATTCAAGTTCTACTGCAGTGCAGCTGTGCCACTGTAGTGTTTCAAGTACAAGCTCCAAAGTAGGGACAGGCAAGATATGGCCCGTGGGCCGGATACAGCCTTCTAAGTCCTTTAATGCAGCCCATGGCCCACCCTGCAGTATAAAGAAGCTCCACACTGCTCAAAGTGGCTGGCTGCTCCCTGTGGCTTTCTGCATCATGCCAGGGGGAGAGGGGAACTTTGTGCATTGCCACCGCCCCCAGCACAATCCTTCAGCTCCTATTGGCCAGTTTCTTAGTAATTGTTCTTCTGCTCAGCAGTATAACAAATGTATCACTTTTCCTCTGTCTCCAAGGTGCATGCATCCTCCAAAATCCAACTTGTCTTTTAGTGGGAGATGGTCATATAAACTGGAATGTAACTTCATTCCCTTTGAAATGGGTGCAGAATGACAACACCTTGTATTCACTGCTATTTGCCTGGGCCAAAATGCTCACATCTGAGGATCTAAAGCAGGAGTGAAAAACCTCAGGCCCGGGAGCTCAATGCAGTCCCTGGCTTGCCTGGATCTGGCCCCTAAAGCTCAGCATTAGGGTGCCCACACCCACCCCTACAGGGCTGGAGCACACAAAATCTACTAGTCTGGGACCCCCCTAGGCTTTGGTGTATGAGGGGAATGTGTGGAGAGTATCTTTCTCCTTCTCAGTCAGGGGCTTCTCACTTGTGTGTGGCCCCCAACTGATTTTTCTGTGGGTCAGCAGCCTCTGACTCAAAAGTTTCCCCACCCCTGCTCTACAATTAGGCCTTATGTCACCGAGGGATTACCCTGATTCACACATTAGTAGCCAGCACTAGTGCTGACCCTTAAGTGCAGATCTAATCAGGATAATCGTTGTAATCAGGGTATATTACAATAAACTCAGCAGGTCCAAACACTTTCAGTCCTTTGGGTACGATGTCCATTTTCTTGCACTTGGATAGAAACACTAGCAGGTCCAAACACTAGCTCCATTGAGGCACCTCCCACTACAGGAATGTAATCTTATCTTACACTTTGCTTTTAAGTCATTGAGTTAGTTGGCACAGTGGAGGGCGGTACATGTCCCATTCAGCATCACGTCAGGGGTAAATCCGACCCATGATTAGCTGGTACAAGGTCCGAATGTAGCTTGACTGGAGACCACAGACAAGGGCAGCTAACTCAATTGTTAAAGCATGTTAAACATAATTACATTTCCTAGTGAAGACAAGCCCTTAATGCAGGAGTGGGCAAATACCAGCCAATGGGCTGGATCCAGTTCCCCAGGGTTAGCTGCTAGTGGGCTGTCACCACTATATTTACCTGTACCTCCACATGTACAGGTGAGCGCTGTCCTCATTGGCCATGGATCACCATTGCTGGCCAATGGGAGCTATGGAAAACAATGTCCTGGTCTCTGCTGCTTCACGCAGCTCCCATTTGCTGGGAACGATGATCTGAGGCCAATGGGAGCTGCTCTCACCCGTATCTGTGGAGACACAGGTAAATATAGCAGTGGCAGCCTACTACGGGCTATCCCTGGTGAATCACCATCATTTTATTGCCCACCCCTGCCTTAAAGTTTGACACTAGAACAGTTGCCAGACTCAGTCGCAATTCATTCAATGCCTATGTTATAAGCAAGCTCTGAAGAGTCCACATCCATATTTTAGGCACTTAACTGAAAGTTTAGGTCTGAATTAGGTCTGAATTTCAATGGAACTTGGGTCTCTGATTCTCTTAGGCTGATCTGAAAGTCCCAGCTAAGGTGCTGTCAAAGCCAGGTTTGAAAATTTTGGCCATGCTGCTTAGTGGTTTAATAACATAAAAATTCTTCCAATGATTCCTTTGAGATTTTTCTAACACGTTTGTAATGGAAAGTTACAGAAGCCTGGTTTCCCATGTGCTGCAAGAAATGGAAGCTGGCCTATGAGAGGTGGAAATGGTTCTTTAGTACTATCTTAAGGGATAGGATGGGTATTGTGTAAGAAGCTAACTGTTTTGTAGATGTCTCTGAAAGAAAAAACGAATGGCACGTTTCTGACGCGCTACATCATTAACAGACGCATAGACAACATAGAATGTTCTATACCATATGTTCTCAGCAGCCTTGTTTTTAGAGCTGATATTTGAATCGAGTAGTTTTGGCCAGGAAAGAGCACTGAAACCACAGAGTGTGACTGACAAGTCTATGCAAACTTGAGCATTAAGGATGAATGGCTGCTTTTTAGTTGGCTGCCGTGCCTAGTTGCTAGAAGACCAGCCCTGTAACCAGAGAGGCAGAATGGATTGGAAATTGACATATGCAGTTTCCATCGGTGTAGTATAGTTCCCCTGAGATCCTAAAGATTTATCTGCCATAAAACCCACCACCCCTCTGAAATCTTCTGCTAAGCAAAAGCATTGGCCTTTTTGTCTGTGTGCAGGCCTGCCAATGGGGGTGGAGGGAGGGCAAAGTGGGCAGTTGTCTCAGGAAGAGGTGATACAAAAGGACTCATCGCCTAGGGCCCTTTAAATCGCTGTCAGAGCACCAGGTGGTGCATTCTAGGCGGCTCTGAGGGGTCGGGGTGGGGCATGCTGCAGTACCCATAGCTCTGAAGGCTGATTGCTCCTGGCCCCACCCTTCTGTTGGCTGTTGGCTCCCCTGTCTGTGTAATGTCTCCTGCTCTGTCTTTCTAACACTGGTGTGTGTGAGTAATGGTGAGACTCTGACCCTCTTTGTTCTGCAAGATCTTCTGCTAGGGTAATTCCACTGATTTTACTAAAGCTATGCTGAATTATTCCAGCTGAGGATCTGACTGTGTGCATGGGCATGCATATAGAAATACAGGGTCAGGGAGAGAGGGAAGCAGGAAGAACAATTATTGGCGTAGCCATCCCCACTGTGCTCTGCAAGGTAGCCTTGCTGCTGTTTTCAGTAGCTTGCTTGTGCATGACCAGAGAAACCAAAACACAAGTGCTGCAGAGGAACCTTTATTAAAGTTTAGAAATAGTCAAGCCTGGAACAAAGTACTGTCTAAGCAGTTACATCATTCATGTCTAAGCGGTTACATCATTCATGCACTATCTACTGCTCCCACGCCTCCATGTCACACTAAAATACACACAGTGCCGTTGATTACATTAATTGCTTTACTGTTGCTTCGGCTGTTTCTGATCCCATCATTGACTCTTGAGCCAGATTCAGTAGCTTCCTTATTTATTTGTAAAAGATACTTGGAACCTATCCCACCATGCTGTAGCTTATGGAGAGGTTTGGCTGCGGTTTTCCCCTTCAATTCTAGTCCAGAGCAGACACTTCTGCCTTCATCTCTTCAATCAGTGGTGAGCAAAGGTACTGGCCGGTCGTCTGAATGGCCTCTCTTGCATCGCTCTCTGACAGGCTGTAGTAGGGCAGACAACAGGCAGCTAGTCCAGGGTTCCACAGGGGAAGTGGACAATAGGGTGGCAATGGGACTGAGTTACAAAGTTCAGGACAAAAAGTAAAATAAAACACCTGCCACTTTCCCCAGATTATTATCCTCAGCCTGATGGGGGTAGATTACCCCCAGAGTAGCTCCTGTTGCACAGGGCACAGTACAACCACAAAATGAGAGGCTGGTTCCCCCCAGCTCCAGCTCTGGGGTGCTGCCTGCCCCCCCACCAGCATGGGGAAGGAGACAGGGGAGGCTGCTACACATCAACGTCTGTCTGCAGCGGCCCAAGCTCACTGTGGCCAGAGGCTGGTCTGCGGCAGCAGCCCCCGCCCATGGAGAGCTCGGATTCCCATGAACAGGGGCTGCTGCCACCCCGTGCTGCTGCCTTTGATACAGATGTAGCAGTGCGGAGTGGCAGGGGACTCCCCAGGAGAGAGGCCAGGAGCGCACTTGGCTGCCAGCCCCACCTCCAGAGACTATTCAGTTATACGATATCTAACATCCCTACAGTGCATGTGCTTAGATCTTGATAAGCACATCAAAATTATCCTGAAGAATTGCATAGAATTGACCTTGTGTTCCACCTATGGCATTGTCCCTGATACTCAGGCAAACGACCTCTCAAACATGTAGGCCGTGGCAGGCTGGCACTGGATAGAAACATTTGTGACAACAAAGACCTAACATAAGGGTCGCAGCAACAATAAAACACGTCAGGAGGAGCTGAGGAATGATGCAGGTTTGCTTTAGTTAAAATGTGTCTAAACTTTCCCTGGATCAGATCCTGAGCTGCTGTAAATCCACGGAGGTCAGTTGAGCTACTTTGAGCCACACAGCGGAAACTCCGTCCTTGTAGCTTTAGCATTAAAGGTCACTGGTGATAAGAGTGAGGTAGACCGATGTTCTGTGTACAGGTAAGGCTGCGATCCTGTGAATGTTTATCCATCGTATTAGCCCTATTGAGATTCATGCACGCACCAAAACTATTGATAAGTATAAGCAGGATCAAGTCTCAACTCTGGGTCTTATGAGTGCCCTCTATAGAACCCAGTCATGAGCTGTGTCACCATCTGACATGTACACAGTCCAGTTCATTTTTTTTTCACTCTTATGTTATCTTTTAGGGTTGACCATTGCCTTTGAGGATTTAATAGAGATCCTATCACAGTTTACATGTATATCATTAGACCAAAGGAATTAGGATCAGTTATTCAATTGCATTATAATTAACCCCCGCTCTTTCAAACATCATAATTACCGCCTTTTGTATTTCTTGGCACAGAACTTGTGGGCTCAGCTGTGCTTTCCCCCTCTGGAGTTGAAGCTATTTACTAAAGGCCCTGAGCTGCAAAGCCTGTCAGAGTAAGATTTTCCTGCGTGACTTAAAGCCAGATTTCAAAGGTATTTAGGTGCCTAAAGATGCGGATAGGCACCCACTAAGATTTTGAGAAGTGGCTCAGCCTGATAGGTGCCTAAATGATCACTGAAATCAACAGCACTTAGGCATCTAAGATGCTTTCAGTATCACGGAGCTGCACAGGCACTTTTAAAATGCCCAAATAGCTTTGTACATCTGGGCCTATGTCATGTAGTCAATAGGACTTGTGCTCCTAAATCACACAGGCACTTTTGAAAGTCCCCTGCTAAACACAAGTACAGCTTTGCTCATGCTACTAGTTCCTTTGAAGCCAATGGAAGGAGAAGATGAGTGTAATAAAATGAGCTGTGTGAGCCTGGCTACCCTATTGGTAGAGCATTAGCCTTCACCTGAGGGTCCAGAGTTCAAGTCCCTGTTGAAGCAAACACTTTAGCCACTCAGGGCATGTCTGCACAGCAGGGCTAAAGCCCAATAAGCTACACAACTTGAGCTATGGCAATTTCATAGCTGAAGTTGAAATAGCTTATTTCGACTTTTGGCGCTGTCTACACAGCAGGAACTCTGAGAGCACTCTTCTTCCGACTTCCTTACTCGTAAAATGAGGGTTACAGGAGTCAGAATAAGCAGTCCTCCAATTCAACATTCTTTTGACATTATGTCAAAATAACTGCTTGTAGTGTAGACGTGGACTATGTTATTTTGGAATAATGACATATATGGTACATACCTATCATTCACAACGTGATGGTACAACCACATGAAGCAAAAGTCCTCGTAAGAGTTGCCATTCTCATGTCTTTTGGGTATCGCTGTGTGGGTTAATTCTTCAGAGCTGTCCATCTCAGTGCTGATTTGGAAGAGAAGGGGGAAGAACACTGTTAAAGCCACCCATGCCTCCTACTCTTGAGGAGTGATTTCTCAAGCAAAAACTGGGCTGCTGTGAATCAGATGTTCTGATCTGATACCTGGAGTAAAGCCAGTTTGTGAAGGCTACACTGAATCTGATTACACAGTGAATTATGAGGTTTTTTTGGGAGGTAAAACCCATTTCAGATGAGTTGCATTGAATATATTTTGGATTCTGTTATTTTTCACTCCAACTCATCTGATGAAGTGGTTGTTACCTTTGCCCACAAAAGCTCTTGAGTCTAAATATCTATCTATAATATAGAAAGGAGAATGTTTGTATGTTTGTGCGCTAATAACTTGGACACTATAAGAGCTACCGCAACCAAATTTTCATGCAGGAGGTTTTAAGGTACTGTGGGAGGGACAAGATGAAAGACCAACGCCTCTCCCCGGGGCTGCACGGAGCTTGGCAGTGTGGGGAAAAGTGGCTTCCCGGGGGAAGCGGTGGGGATAGTCACTCACTAAGGCTGGCAGAGGGACAAGAAAGCAGAGGGCAGACTCGGGCGCCGGCGGCAGGCGCACGACTCCCTTCTCCCTCACTCCCCTCAGGCTCCTCACCTCAGTTATATCAACTTTCCTGAGCAACGCCAGGTAACTCCAGCTAGTATATATATAGTTAGTCTCTGAGGGCATGTCAAGACTAGAAAATGATTTTGAAATAATAACTCCCAAAATAACTTTCAAAATAGCGCAGCCTCACTACAAGGGAGCCTCAAAATTAGTCCAAGGCAGGCTCCCTTAATGTGGATGTGCTACCTCGATGTAAAGCCCTAGGAAGCACTAGGGAGTAATTACTTTGAATGACTCTGGGGAGTAGTTATTTTGAAATAGCAGCAGTGGAGCGTCCACACTACCGCTATTTCAAAATAACTGTTTTGAAATAAGCGTTATTCCTCATAGAAAGCAAGAGTTATTATTTCAAAATAAGCAGCCCCTTATTTCGAAATAACAGGCTTGGTAGTGTGGACTTATTACAGTGTGACAGCCTGTTTCCTTCCATGGTTTTGAAGGATGTCATGTTGTGTGGAATCACAGGGTTTCTTAAACCAGAGAAGTTTAGTAAAGAAAATAGCTGTAACAACTGACACAAACAAGTTCCTGCACAGCTTGGGTCCCAGTTTTATCTCCCTTACTCAGGAAGGCGTGCGTGGAACACAGTATAGCACACAGAGACACTTAGTGGCTGGATAGCGGACTGCAAGTAGGCATAGCAGTTGAGAGGCTGTGTATTTCACAGGCTGGCACAGGTTGCCACCTCCTGCTAGGCTGCAGCTATGATATGTAGAAGCAGTGACTTCTGATGACATATCAGACTGACCTCACACATAATTCCCTTCCGGGGCATTGCTGGGAAGTGCTGCTTCTGCTTTTATTGCAGGGGTGACATAGGCGAAAGCACATGTGCCATTGAAAATTATCTTACTTTTCTAGGGCAAAAGTTTTTGGGCCTTTAATTAACTTGCTGCTGCTTTTCTGGGAGCCCACTTCTGTTCTAAGGAGAGGAAGCCAATGCAGCAAAGAGCAGTGCCGATAGATACTTCCTCTTCAGAAGAAATCCACTTTGTTGCTCCTCTGAATAGGGAAAAATTGTGCTCTGATTTCCTGCCATGCTGCCGAGGGCAGTGTATGTATTAGCCAGCTGGAATAGGTTGAACTGGGGAGCATATCCAGCATTTCTCTCAGTGCATTGTTGTGTAGTGTGGCAGGATTCTGCCTCGTTCGTAGTATTGAAACAAGAGAAATCATTTTCTGTGATCATCTTCCCCTAACAGACGAGGACAGGCTATTGTTATATAGCTGAACCCTGCTTTGCTATTGACTGTATTGTTCTACTTCAGGTACTTATGAGGCTCTCCCCCACCCGCCAATTTCTGGGACATTTCAATATTCTATGGGAACACTGGGACAGGAGATTTAAAAACGTGACTGTCCCGGATGGTCAGTGTACTTATAGGTGCACTGTAGGGAACTTATAAGTACCAGACAGTGTCTCTAGATACATCTCATCTGGGGAACAGAAGTGACAGCAGACAGAGGCTGCTAGAGTTTTTTGGGTGGCTTATCTGTCCCCTGTAATATTCAGGACATATTTACATAAATATGAAATCAGAGACAAGGAAGTGAAATCCAGGACTATCCTAGCCTCATACAACACAACAGGAACAATAAGACAAGGAAACAGTGGCCTCACTCATGCAACATCTCAGAGACTGACCTCCTTAAGCGGTGTAGCTGTTAGCTCTGGAGAAGGATGCACAGTCATGGCTACAGTTACTACGTGGGTCAGTGGTCACAAAAGGGGGATGAGAAGAGAAGAAAAGATGGGGAAATAGCAGTGCCCAGAGAAAAGAACACCAAGAGGTGGTGTGATCTGTCCCTCAATGGCACTGCCAGTGGGAGTTCCTTCCCTTCCCATGGACCACATCTGGTCCAGGGAAGAGGATTACTTAGTGAAGAGATCAAGCCAGAGGCTTTGGAGTAGCTAAAAGGTACAAGGAAATAAGGAAATAATACAAAATTCTCCTCTTTCCTTTCCTTTGAGATTCAGTACGTAGCGCAGGAAAGTCCTTAGTTTAGTGAACTTCTCTTTTGAGTCTAAGTCATTTTCAGCATGACCAATATAGCCAGAGACTTCCAACGGCTCCTCCAGTCCAGAGGATTCGGGGACACTAGTACACAAGAGTACAAATACACAAAGCCAAGGCTTATTCTTCAGTCTGCACATTACTTGCCTACTTAGAAAGATTTTCCTCCTTCACTTGCTGTCATACCAGTTCTGAGATACAATGCCCGGTTTGTCAGCTGGTGTATATTGGTGTACATTCCTCTGAAATCAGGTTTACATCACCTGAAGTGCTAACTTTTATTGGAGAATGGCTACATAGATATTTAGGGCTATTTGTTATAAGAGCCGCCTCTTTTCTTGAGGAAAGGGTTAGGACTGAATGAGGCCTTAATGTCTCCATCTAATTATTTGCTAGCACCCAGGGGGCCATGGTGGATTGTTTTGCACTAAGCACCTATAGGCCTTACTTAGATTGGAACCCACTGCACTGGGTATTGCATGGACACATATAAGCTGACTGACTTTGGGGGAGGTTGGAGAGCTCAAGCTTTGGCTGATAGAAAGGGACAGTCCTTGCCCCTACCCCATATAGCCCAAAACTTACATGAAAGGCAAAATAGGACAATGGAGAGGCTGCTGCACTGGAATGTAAGAGACCCGTGTTCTCTTCCCAGTTCTGCTATGTGATCCTGGGCAAGTGATTTCACTTGTCTCTGCCTGTTTTATTTTGACTGACAAATTCTCTCTTTCTATCTGTGAACATACGGTGGCCAGCAAAATAAGGTTGCTAGCCACTCCTGTAAGACCAGTTACATTAAAAAAGCAATGTGAAAAGAATGGTGAGGTTGCAAAATCAAGCACTTAGGAAATGCCAGAGATAAGATTGCCTGTGCTCAGCTGTAGCCTTGGAATGGAGCATGCCCAGTGCAATCAAAATCTTCAGAAAATTTAGTAACCAGACTGAAAATTCTCAGCTATCACATATTTAGCACCTGGTTAGAGGCTCAAGTTTTGGCCACATTTGGGTTGATTTCCACAAGGACAACAAAAGGCACAATCCTGATACGAGGGTACCAGATTTCCTCCCTGCCTCAAAATTCAACCTGAGGGGGATGCTAGGTTTCTCAGTGAGACTTTTTAATACAGGCAAAACAAAGTATTTTTCCCCTTATCTTGCATTCTGAAGTAGCCAAACCATTTTGGCTGAAACCTTTCAGAAAATAGTCACCCTGAAGCAGATACCCAGCATAGAAAACTTCAGCACGAACGGGTCAAGCTTGGCAAGTTATAAGCAACACAAAGATACAGTCCTATGATGAGACATGTTGGGCAGCTTTCCTAGGCAAAGCTTTGAATGTATAACACGCAAGTGGGCAGGGTCATGTTGCAGAGAGGTGTTGACCCGCTTGCCCCTGTACATCAGACACAAGCAATCCAAGAAGGATCAGCAGTAGTAGTGAGTGGGGTAGAGACCGATACAGTGTTTGCTGTGGTGCCTGAGGGTTTCAGAAGTCCAGGCAGTACACACTACTCTCTCCCACTGGAGGAGGGGGATCTGTCACCCTGCATTCTGGCTGCCTGTTTTCTAGCTGTAAGATGACGCTTGTGACCAATTGAATTGCCAAGAAGTCACTTTCCTTTCCCAGTGTTTGTTTGTTACCTGCGCTTGTAGCCCACCAGAGACTTGATGAGTTTCTGAAATTGACTGTTTTCTCTCATCTTGCTGAGTTCGCTGGTGAACATGCCATCCGCGTGCCTCTGATACCTGCATTTCAGGAAAGAGAGAAAATGAATGTGCCTGCACTGAGGGGACTCTCTCTATTCCAAGGGATTTCGATTCCATCTGAGATTGCAGCACAGCTGGGCCTTTCCTGCTAAGTATGGAATAAGACAGGCACCGTCTCCCAACGCTGTTTATTGGGACTGACCCAAAGCTCAGACAAGCTGCATCTCTTGTTGTACAAATTCTGCACTGAGGTACGTACCTGAAAAGGGACAGTTCTAGGTGGGCATATGGCTCACTCTAGAGGAGATATGATCATCCCCAGATGTTCAGATTTAGAAAGGATGGGCAGTTTTTTTTGTTTTTTTTTTTTAAATAACTGACCTGTTTCCTTACAGCAAAAACATCATCTAGTTGCATGTATCTCAGGGAAGCTAAATGCACATCATTTCCCCTGCTCCTTAACAATAGCTTTGAAAGATTGGCATCTGTTACACACCTTGGCTGTGTCTAGACTGGCAAGTTTTTCCGCAAAATCATCTGCTTTTGCGGAAAAACTTGCCAGCTGTCTACATTGGCCGCTTGAATTTCCGCAAGAACACTGACAATCTCATGTAAGATCGTCAGTGTTCTTGCGGAAATACTATGCTGCTCCTGTTCGGGCAAAAGCCCTCTTGTGCAAATCATTTGTGCAAGAGGGCCAGTGTAGACAGCACAGTACTGTTTTGCACAAAAAAGCCCCGATGGCTAAAATGGCGATCGGGGCTTTTTTGCGCAAAAGCGCGTCTAGATTGGCATGGACGCTTTTCCGCAAAAAGTGCTTTTGCGGAAAAGCATCTGTGCCAATCTAGACTCTCTTTTCCAAAAATGCTTTTAACAGAAAACTTTTCTGTTAAAAGCATTTCTGGAAAATCATGCCAGTGCAGACGTAGCCCTCGGGCTGGATTGTCACTTTACCACCAGCCCTGGGTAAGTGGCTGTGAGCAGTTATGCTGGCTTAGGAGTGCACCAGGGAGGAATTGTAACTCCCAGACTTGCTCTATAGAGAGAGCAATTAGCTTCAGGATGACACTATTAGGCCTGGTCTACGCTAGAGCGGAGCTCTATACAACCTCAGCTATGTTAATTACAAAGCTGGAGTTGACGTATCTTAAGTCGCTGTCCACACAGTGGGAGGTTGATGGGAGCAAATGCTCCCGTTGTCTTCCTGTACTTCTCATGAGGAGCAGGAGTACTGGTGCTGACGGGGGAGGTACCCGCTGAGTTCAATTTAGCAGGTCTTCACTGCTAAATCAAACCCCGGAAAATTGACCGCGGCAGTGTCAATCTTCCCTTCAGTGTCGCCATGGCCTTAGAGTAGTTCCCTTCCCTTGCTCTTTCACATCAGCTCAGCATAGGGGGCGAAGGTCAGAGCTAAGACTGCACCCATTCCCTCCTCTTTCCCACCCCCACCTGCACAGGAAAGGGATGACTGTCCCTACAGAAGCTGCTCTTCCACCGATTCTGTGTGCTGAAACGTGTGTCTCCTGCAGAGGGGTATGGGAGCACCATACCTTATTATTTGTACTGCAGTGATGTCTAGGAGCTCTAGTCCTGGAGCATGATCTCATTGTGCTAGGCACTGCCCAGGCAGGAAAAAATATATGGTCCCTGATCCAAGACACATTCCAGATAAGTGAACCTTCTGATTGACAGCCTTATCCCCCCAGGGTTTCCTATGCAGGCACATAGGGCGAGGGATGACTTGTAGCCCCTTAGTCTTATGTGCAATGAAGGGGAGATGGCAGCAGAGTCTCTCTGCTTTTTCATTTGTTACCTTAGGCTTGTGAGTGTACAAGACACCACACCCCGGCGCAAGGGGAAGTCCTTATTCCAGCCTCCCTTCCCAGTGAGTTTGGAAGGAGTGATGGCTGAGAGAGCTCTGCGTGGCTGATGAATGAGCTGTTTAGAGTCGCGATTAGTTACACACAAGATGGGGTGTGCTCCTGAAGCACCAGGGCTGGAGTTTACTTCAGGCTGGCTCCCCTTTGGGCTGCTCTGGCTGCTAAAGATTTCACCTAGAGAATCTGAAGCTACCCTGCAGCAGCAGCTGGGATTCCCAGGCAGAAGGTGGCTTAGCTTCCTTAGTGTCGTTCACGCCTAGCCCTGCTCTTGCTGGAAGTAATGGGGCATTGGAGGACACTGCCAGTTAGAGCAGTCCTGGGACAGCTTTAGCCTTTAGAGTGGCTGAGCTGGCTGCCGGGTGCTGTGAAGATGCAGGGGATCCAAGGTGCACCTGAGGAGGATCTGGCCCGTGTTCTGGAAACAGGCTCCGGGCAGTCTGCTTGCTAGGATTTGCTTTCTAGCCCCAAGCTGTCCTCTCTTTGAGGCTTATGATCTTTTTACACTTTGGAGTTCAGAGGTCACAACAGCACCAAGCAGGGAAGAACGAGTATTTTTTACCTTTCATTGAGGCCCACGAGATATTTGACTAACTTCTGCACATAGGCATTTTCATTCATCTTGCTGAGTTCGCTGTTAAATACCCCGTCAGCATGTCTCCGAGCCCTGGGAATTTAGAAAAGAAAACCAAATGGGTGCAATGCCATCTTTTGGATGGGGTGGGTGTTTAAAACCATCCCTTTGGGAGAGGGGGGAAGCTGGGAGAATGGACTATTGATAATAATTGATAGAAATCATAATTACCCTGGAACAAAATGGGAGTGTTCCAAGTAGGGGTGAGGGTAAAAGGCAAATATTCAAAACATAAAAGAAGCAAATATCTACTACACATTTCAGAGAGTTTGTCTGTCTGTCTGTTTGTCCAAGTGCTCCTAATAAAAACTAAGAGGTAGGACCTCCAAATTCAGTCTACAGCTTCCTTTCATCATAACTTAAACAAAGTAAAGGTTTGGTTGCACCAGGAAAATGGGATGCCCTTGGAATGGGATGGTGTCTCATAAAACTATACAAAAAAGAGACAGACTCACCAGACAGGTGAAAGGGGCTGGCTGGGGGTGTGTCCACCTCTGGGAATTCCCCTACCCCCAGGTGCCATTTAGGGAGGGTGGGAGCTTCAGCCTCCCCTAATTCATGCAGGGACATTGGTTGCTCTTTCCTCTTCATCAGTGAGCAAGGAGAAAGTGCACAGTTTGCTGAATTCCTAACTCTGGCTGTGGAATGCAGGGGGCTGATGAACCTGGACCTGCCTCAGCCAGGGGAAATGTACATCTCCCCTGGCTGTGCCCTCTGGAGCTGCATACTGAACCCCTCATCTCCATCTCCATCCCCGAGCAATGATTTAAATGCAGCATGTACATTCTAATTTTATTTACCAAAAAACAAAAATTAATTGAGTTAAGGAACACCAAGCAAAACCAGATACACCTTCTAAAATACTAATTGGAAAGTAAAAATGCCTTGTATTTCTTTTTAGAAGGTTTATAAGAGCTTGCTCATCACCATGTGTGATGGAATACACTCCTGTGTTCTTATCTTACACACTAATGTAATAATCCTTCCACAAAGTATGCCTGGTAAGGTAGTGTTTGAAAACTCATAATTTGCTGGCCAGTATTGTCCTGCAGAAATGTGTTTGGCAGTATTGTATGTGAAGTTATATTATTACCCCATAATGTTGCTGTTAGCACATGTTCCAAACACCACAGCACTGTCCAGGCAGAAGTCTGGTCTGCGCTAAACAAAGGAATGTGTGCTTGCCTGAATTAGCATTAATGTAGTAAATAGAGTCATCAAGGAGGGAGGGAAAACAAAGGAAGTTCAAAGGAGTGATTAAAAACCAGCAGGGGATATAGACTGTTTGTGCTTTGGGTGTAATGTTTTTCAAGAGGGGGAGTGAAACTACTAAAGGGAGGGACAAACACTCTGGCTACGTCTACACTGGCCCCTTTTCCGGAAGGGGCATGTAAATTTCACCTATCGTAGTAGGGAAATCCGCGGGGGATTTAAATATCCCCCGCGGCATTTAAATAAAAATGTCCGCCGCTTTTTTCCGGCTTTTAAAAAAGCCGGAAAAGAGCGTCTACACTGGCCCCGATCCTCCGGAAAAAGCGCCCTTTTCCGGAGGCTCTTATTCCTACTTTGAAGTAGGAATAAGAGCCTCCGGAAAAGGGCGCTTTTTCCGGAGGATCGGGGCCAGTGTAGACGCTCTTTTCCGGCTTTTTTAAAAGCCGGAAAAAAGCGGCGGACATTTTTATTTAAATGCCGCGGGGGATATTTAAATCCCCCGCGGATTTCCCTACTACGATAGGTGAAATTTACATGCCCCTTCCGGAAAAGGGGCCAGTGTAGACGAGCCCTCTAAGTCTAAGGCTTCCTGTGTGATGTTGAGCAGGTCATTTAACCTTGCCGAGGATGTTGTGAAGACCAGGACTTTAACAGGGTTTAAAAAGAGCTAGATAGATTCATGGAGGTTAGGTCCATCAGTGGCTATTAGCTAGGATGGGTAGGAGTGGTGTCCCTAGCCTCTGTTTGTCTGGAAATGGATGACAGGAGGGATCCCGTGATGATTAGCTGTTGTGTTCACTCCCTCTGGGGCATCTGGCATTGGCCACTGCTGGCAGACAGGATACTGGGCTAGATGGACCTTTGGTCTGACTCAGTATGGCCCTTCTTATGTTCATTTCTGTGTGTGGTGTTGTTCCCCATCTGTAAAATTGGGAAGATACTGCCCTATCTCTGAGAAATACAACAAAGACTCTGAGGTGGTTGGGCAATAAGGTACAAATAAGTACTTTAGAGAAATGGGATTTGCAAGATTGGGCTAGAGTGTCTTTTTGGAGCAGGGATCTCATGCCCCAGTAAGGTACCTAGCATGCTTTGGCATTGTGTAAATCAGGTCATGATACTTGGTATTGCTAATAACTTTTTAAAAACAAAACAAAGGTGACATCTCACTTAAATGGATGTTTCACTGCGAAGAAATGTCCAGTGTGCACTTATTATCACTCCTCAGGGTGTGTAGGGGGTCTAGTTCAGTGAAGTCACACTGATTTACCCTGGCTAAGGGCATGGCGCTATCCATGTTTTGTAAACAGTTAAGTGGACTAAATTAAGCACTCTTAGCATGCATACAGGGGAACTAATGCAGAATAGCTATTGTGCTTTAAATTAATACCCCTAGCTATTTTGTACTAATTTCCCCATGAATTTGCTATGTTGACATGCCCTAATTTAGTTACACTGAAGCAAATTTGCATGTAGGCGCATAAATTGGTTGAAGAATGGGTCATTTCAATTTAGCTTATTCTGTTCTTACTGCCATAATAAGTGTGTTTGCACAAACACTTCCACTGGTTTAATCAAATCAATTTAAAACCCAAACACACAGTTGTAACTTCTGTATATAGACAAGACCTAGCTGGTAGACCTTTAGAACAGAAAATCCTAGAAAGAAGAAGTGGGATGTGTAGTGGGGTGGCTGTCCTCCTCTGGGCTGAAGGGGTTAAAGTAGGCTGAAGAAAGCACGTACAGAGTCCTAGCCAATGAGGAAAGGGCTCCTAGGGGACCCAATCAGAGTATAGCTTGTGGGGGCAGTCCTGTTTATAAGGTGCTGCTCAGCAGAGCACTGAGTTGTGTCCTGGCCAGGGAGGATGCAGGACCAATTCCCTGAGAGAAAGCACCTTGGATAGAGCAGTGCTGAGCAGACTCAGGGGAGCTAGAGAGAGAGGGGAGCTTGGTACAGGGTCCAAGGAGGTATAAGGGTGACAGGGGAAGTGGCCCAGGGAATAAGAGGCAGTATAAGGGAGTGAAGGAGGGCAGGAGAAGGCTGCTGCCAGCAGGTCCCTGGACCAAGACCCAGAGTAATGGGCAGGCCTTGGTCCTCTCTTCCCTCTTTTCACCGCATGTAGTCACCACAAGAGTGTGGCCTATACTGGCTTCAGCTTCTCCCTGTGTGAGGGGCTAGATGTTGGCTGCAGTTGGCTATGGTGGCAAGTGCAAGATGGAGGACTGCTGATACCCCTGAAAGGGGGCAAGAGACTGGACTAGAGGGCATTACTGGAGGGAAGTGTCCTGAAGAGGTCCTGGGAGCAATGTGGGTCCACAGCTAGAATGCAGAAAGGGTGCAGAGTGATGATTCAGTGAAATTCCGGCCAGCAGGGGGCACCCTGCTGAGGACTGAGCTAATTCCCAGTGTGTCCAGTAGGAGGCGCCACAACGCTGTGTCTCAACCCAGTTACGGGATGGAATCTCCAAAAGACTCACCTCTCCAGAAGAGGAAGCGTGGCTGAGAGCTGAGACAGGACAACCACAGAAATAACTAGCTGCCAGAGCCCAGTCCGCAGGGAAGCCATGATGTCTCCTGAAATGAAGCATGAATTGAACGACCCTGTTATTTTGTTTGGAACAATTTACCGGTAGCATAGCATCAGCTATTGCTGTATTGCTACACTAATAACACCGTCGCAATCAAATAAGGAAGCTCTTGCCAACAGAGAGCATTCTGAGAAATGTAAAAGATGAGCACACCTAAATAATTTGTCCAGCCGGTATGTTACAAGCTATTCATTCTACATCCCCCAGTGAAATCCCAGTTCTGGTGTCTTGATGTTGTGTTTCAGAGCAATAAAGAACAAATAGACTGGTAATAAATCTGTGGTATCACACAATGGAGCAAACCTCGCTCTGCTGTATCTCAATCTAAATCAAAACTCCAGGGATGGATTTAGCCGTATATTTAGGAATAAAAAGACTAGAAACAATAATGAAAACAACCTCAACACCACCACGATTGAACACATTCAGCTGCCATAGGAAATCCAACTCTAATACTTCAAACTGTCAGGCAAAAAAGTCTATAACTCTATAATTCATCCACACCAGATAGGGGCTTGCCAATACTTCGAGCCATGTACAAGCCATCAAGTAGACCCTAGAAAGGAGTGCATAGCCAATCCGAACATTTGTACCTTCATAGAAACTCTTCAGGCAGATGTTGATATGTATTTAAATTTTTAACCTCTCCCTGAAAGATGGCCACCTGCAGTTGAAGCATGAGATGTGGATGGACACTAAGGTGTAACTATAGCCTGTAGAAGGACAAATCCCTCAGAGCAGGCAAGCTTGTGAGAAAGCAGTGGGAGGAAGTGAAGCATGTTCCATCAGCACTGAGGAGAATGGAGGTATGTCTATACTGCAGAATTTTTCCGAAAAAACTTCACTTACGTCCACACTGAATCATGTTCTTTTGAAAAAAAAACCCCCCCGAAAGAACAGAGGGTTTTTTCCAACATTGGTAAACCTCTTTCTAAGAGGAAGAAGCCTTTTTCCGGAAGAGCTCTTTTGGAAAAAGGCATGAGTGGATGGGGAAGAGGGAGTTCTTTCGCAAGAAAAGGAAAAAGCACAGGTGCCCTGGTGGCCTCTCTGTCCATAGTAATCACAGCTTAAATGTGACATAGCGTCCATTCGTGTGGCCGCTATCTTTCTAAAAAAGCAGATGGCTTTTTCGATGCACTTTTGCTCTGTAGACGCTCTCTTTCGGAAGTAGTTTTTCTGGAAGATCTCTTCTGGAAATGCTTCCTCTGAAAGAAGCCGGCAGTCTAGACATAGCCTGGAGTGGGAGGAGGTGGATAGTGACAGCGAGTGCATGCTACATGAGAGGTTCCTTTCAGTGAGCACTGTCTAGGATGGCTAGAAATATACTTGCCTCCCTGTTGCCCAGAATCCCACAGAAAGAATCTCAACTTCACTGAATTCCAATTAGAAGGCTCAGCCCTGTAGCAGCAGACACCCAACCAGCTCCTTTCTAAAGTCTATCACATCAGCACAAATTACCCTTCTGCACTCTCACAGATAGGATTGTGACTCATATATGAGCAGCTATGGCCCATTTCCCCTTGAGTGCTTATTTTCTGCAGCTTGTTTCTCCAGGTGGCCTCAGCTTGAGCTGTACTTGTGAAATCACCTGTATTACATAATAGCTTTATGGGACTTACACGTCTAAGAACGGTGACGCGTATTTTTATATGCCAGTAGATGGCACACTTTGGCTACGTCTACATTGGCCCCTTCTCCGGAAGAGGCATGTTAATTTCCAGCTTCAGAATAGGGAAATCCGCGGGGGATTTAAATATCCCCCGCGGGATTTAAATAAACATGGCCGCCGCTTTTTTTTCGGCTTGGGGAAAAGCCGGAAAAAAGCGTCTAGACTGACGCGATCCTCTGGAATAAAGCCCTTTTCCGGAGGATCTCTTATTCCTACCTGATCCTAAATTTCCATATAACACAAACAATTTTCTGAAAGTAGGAATAAGAGATCCTCCGGAAAAGGGCTTTATTCCAGAGGATCGCGTCAGTCTAGACGCTTTTTTCCGGCTTTTCCCCAAGCCGAAAAAAAAGCGGCGGCCATGTTTATTTAAATCCCGCGGGGGATATTTAAATCCCCCGCGGATTTCCCTATTCTGAAGCTGGAAATTAACATGCCTCTTCCGGAGAAGGGGCCAATGTAGACGTAGCCTTTCTGTTAACTCTCTCACAGTTATGTGGGTCTTTCACACAGATTCAATGAAACATTCCTCAGTCTCTTTCTGCAGCTTATTCTAAAACCTTACAAAAGAGGAAGTAGACACATGCACTCATTTAGACCTTATGTGGTGATTAGAAAGGGGGGATGGTCAAGTTCTTAGGGCTTGGGAAACCTGGAGTCAAGTCCCTGCTCCACTACTTATTTCCTGTTGTGAACCTGGGCAAATTACTTTGCCTCTCTGTATCACTGCTCCCATCTAGAAAATGCAAACAGTACTTCTCTACCCCTCATAGTTATGCTGAGGAAAAATAAAGATTGTGATGTGCTCAGGTATTGTGCTATTGGAGACCCTATGAATCCTTTTAGATAGATACGTTAAACCACTATCCAGATCAAAGATTCTATGATTTTTGCTTGCAAAGAAATAGATCCTAAATTTCCATATAGCACAAACAATTTTCTCCCTAATATCTTGGTTTAAACCCTTCAGTGTATATCTGTGGGTGTGCAAGCTAATCGGAGAATACTTCTATAGAATTCAGGGTCTTCGTGCTTTGCTGCTCAGAGCAGAATATCCCCAGGCAGCCTGAAAGAAAATACTTCTACCTATGTTACTTAGGGAAGAATCCAGTTTGCCAGGAGAGCAGTGAGGAGAACCGAAGTTCCTTTTCACAAAGGATTTTGAAATTTGGCTTTGTTCTGAATCAGAATGAAAACCAAGCTTTTTTGAAATTGTTTCTGAAGGAAACTAATTCAAATTTTTTTAAAAATTAAAAACAAAAAAAGTCATTTAAAACTCAAAATACTATTCTGAAAATATGGAATGGGACATTGTTGGAACTTCCCCCCCATTTTTCTTTTGCAACAAAATTCCAGCAAAATCAACCTAGTTTTCAGTTTCAACAGAGCTACATATTGACAGTCTGACAGACTATGGTTCCCATGCAATTCCTCTGAGCAGCTCACTGTCCAAGAAGAGAGAGAAGAGAACCAAGGGAAACAAGAACAATGGACAATTTGCATGCAATGTTATAGGCCAACTAACTAGATTCAACATAAGCAGCACAGTGTGTGGAGAGGGGAGGGGCCTTGCAGCTGACTTCTGGGAGGTTGGACTTTGCACAGGAAGCCCCATGGAAGAAGGCACAGAGGTGGCTGTCTCTTTGCATGCGTAACTGATATACAAATCCTGTTACTAGGGATGTAAGCAATGTATAAAACTATTAACTGTGCATCTGAACAAAAGTCTATCAGTTACACGGGGTAGCCACAGGGCTGCTGGCTGCCAGCTTCCTGGCTTGTGGGGCTGCTGGCTGCCAGCCTTGCAGGGCTGCTGGCCCCGGCCCATGCCATGGTGGGCCTGGCCAGGTTGGAGCAGCCATCTGCCCATAATGCAGAGCTGGGAGGGGAGCTGCTCCTGCTGGGCCAGGCACCAGTTATTGGTAATCATCACCTGCTAAGGTGATGATTCAGCCCTCTCTAAAACCCTGGCTTTTGGCATTTGACTCACTTCCTTGCTCTGGCCCTGCTATGTGAAGAATTGTCATTTACCTTAAAGGTCCTGGTAGACTAACAAAACATGTAGATGGTATCATGAGCTTTCGGGGGCACAGCCCACTTCTGTACAGATTAACTCAGCTACCCCATGAAGCTTCTGTCATTGACCTATCATTCATTTTTAACAGCTGACCCATTATACTCTTACTGTAACCGGGGGAATAAAAGGCACAAGCTAGCCTTTTATGGATAACCGTATTCTACATTGCAAAAAGAGAGAAACCACTGAGATTCATGAGAAATGTGCCCCTCTGCCCAGTTTATCTCCCATTCAGCATCATTAACAAATGTCAGCAGAGACATTCAGTACTTACCGTACACTATGTTCACGCAGGACTTCTTCACTCACTCACACCCGCGATGTGCCGTGAATCCCTCCTTGCCTGCGTCCCCTATAAATATTCAACCCTTATCAGATGCCCTAAATTAGGTAAAGCTGGAAATGAGAGTAACATTTATTAATGGCACGTATATCCTGGCGGAAATGTATTTTTAATTGCACTGTAAACCCAAGCAGGTAGCTACCATGGTTCAATTGACCATTTTGCCAGTGTATGTTGGTTCCTGTTTCATGCATATAATAAAACTAATTTGTCAGGCAAACATCCCTGGACTGATACAGATGATATCAGTAATGACTAATTAATTGAGAATGTCACCCACGTGACCTCTCCTAGCTTTAATTGCCTGCTTGATGGGAATTTACTACATTTCCCCCCCTTTTGGTTTGGGGTTTGTTTGCAAATAATAGAGAGAATACACACAAGAAATGCTCTTGATAGCTGGATGTATATGAGTAATTTGCATGCAGTAATTTTTGAGATTTCTCATCTGAACAGTGGGTGAGGTTCTGGAACATCCTCCCAGTAGGAGCTGTGGAGACAAACAACCTAATCATTTCGGTGAGGTTTTTTTTTAATTTCCTTCCTCTGCGATATCAGGGATGGCCACAGGTGGAAGTGAGATATTGAATGAGGATAGCTGGGGGCTCTGTGGTGGCACTGAGCATTCTCATCCTGTTGTGCTGGGCTGGCTGCTTCTTGCTCACCTGTGCAGGGTCCACTCTGAACTGACGGCCATGGGTGGGGCTGGGAAAGAACCCCCAGCTCAGACTGGCAAAGACTGAGGAGAGGAGATGGGAGGGTCCTCCTTCTCTGCAGCATAGGGAAGGGTCACTTATCAGTGTTATCTGGGTATTTCTCACTTCCTAATTGCCCTGCCATGGTATCCCTCCTACCTGCCTCTGTTACATTATAGCAGGGCAACTCAACACAGGCTCATGGGGCCTGCGGCCCGTTTGTTTGCGGCCCGTGGTGCAGTTTGGGTTTACGTGGGGCTCAACACACGACCTGCAGGGGGATCCTTTGAACATGGCCTCCACTGGGAATACGCTCCTCAACAGCGAGTCAATATAATGGTCTTCTGTTGATATGCATTTTAATAGTTAAATTCCTGGACTGTCATTGCTCATTAAAAGTGCTGCCATATGGGTGGAAATGGGGTAAATATTGCATTTTATTAGTATCAGCAGAACTGACTTAAATGGGGCCTGTGTGTTGTGTAGTCTTGCCTTAATTTTTGTATTCATGCCCGTCAGTGTGAAAGAAGCTATTTGCATGTATTTGCATATATATTTGCATGTAAATGCAACCACACTTCAGTTACAGTCCTGTGCATGTGCTGTGACTATCATTGTGGGCCCCTGGTGGGCTGTAATACTTTGGTCTAATTTTAACTGGTGAGTTTAGTGTGCACGTGTTGGGTGGTGTTGGCAGCCTGTGATAGGGATGTTAAGTGTGTAATTTGTTAATCAGGTAGTTGACAAAATTTTGGTCTGCTACCAAATTAATCAATAAGGGTTAGTACTGCAAGCCCTCAGTCCCAACTCACGCCAGAAACTACCCCTGCTGTGGTTCTGCACTAAGAGTATTTTAGAAGCTGGTGGGCAGGCAGTCTGGCTCAGTCCTGGCTTGCACTGGGTCCTGGGGGCTACTCCCGCTGCGGCTCTGCGAGGAAAGTATTTTAGAAGCTGGCAGATAGGCAGCCTGGCTCAGTCCTGGCTCATGCTGGGACCCAGGAGATACCCCCGCTGCAGCTCTGCACTGAGCCAGGCTGCCAGCCAGCCCGCTAAAATATTTACCAGCAGAGCCATGGCAGGGACGGAGGAGGTGAGCTGCATTTAGCCGGTAGAATTAATCAATAAGCATCCACTTAATCGTTTAACCAGCTACACTATTGCATCCCTAGTCTGTGATACACAGGAGGTCGGACTAGATGACCGAGCAATCCCTTCTGGCCTTAAACTCAGACTCATTTTAGGGCAGACCCTGATGGGTCTGCAGTAGGAACAATCCTAGCTTTGGAATAGCAGGGTGGCTCTTGCTAAGAGTGAGGCTGCCTGCACACAAGGCTGGTAACCAACTTTGCTGAACCCTGGGCTGCGTGTGTGTGTGGGAGCCCCCTGGTAGGGCAGGGTCTCGGGCATAAGGGGTGAGGTTATGGGCAGCCCACCCTCAGCACTGCCCAGACCCTCCCTCAGCCAGCCCTCAGCACTGCCCGGGCTGTGCTGTGCAGCGCTTCCGTGGTGACTGAAAGGGCCCAGGGCTCAGGCTGCCACTACTGCTGTGGTAACAGTGGCAATGGCCCAGAGCCCTGGGACCTGTTAAATCACTAGGCCTCAGGTCCCCTTTGCCCCCCTCCCCATCAGTGGTCCTGCCTGGACAGAACTGGGAAGAGTCATTTCCTGCACTAGCAGAGTTAGCTGCAGCTCAGCTGTGGCCTGCCTAGTTAGAATTATGCGGGTTGTCGTACAGACCTAATCAAAATGCAAAGACACCCGTGGAAAGACTCCCATTGACTTCAGTGGCCTTTGGATCAGGCTAGGTTCAGTCAGTGTTCTGAAAAGGCTGGACAGAGAGGAAAGATAGGATTATGTCGTCCCCCCCCCCCCCCCTTGACACATACGGTAGCTTGAAAGGACCTTTCATTTAGAAAAAGATGACTCTTCTAGCCTTACACCACTGAGATTTGAGGAATATCAAGTCTTGTCTTCCTTGTTGTTGTTTTTTTCCTGCCCATCCTGGCTAATAGCCATTGATGGTCCTAACCTCCATGAATCTATCTAGCTCTTTTTTGAACCCTGTTAAAGTTCTAGCCTTCACAGCATCCTCTGGCAAGGAGTTCCACAGGTTGATTGTGCTGAGTGAAGGAGCAGAGGATTGAAGAGGTGGAAGGACCTTGAATTTTCACAATGGGCTCTTTTATCCTGACTGTTTGGCATACATTAGAGTTAAACAAGTATTAAGAAAAACAAGCAGATAACAGAGCTATAAATAATCTGACAGAGGGCCAGAATGGGACTGTGAGGTGCAGCCCTAAACAAGGAATGGGGTGTAAATTTCACCACTTTAGGAGGAGACCCTGGAGACATTTTGACTCATACACCCCTCTTAGGCATGTGAGCTGAATTATGAATGTACAAAAGAAGAGGAAAGAAGCTTTCAGGCTTAGGTAGCTTAAAAAGGACCCAAGCAATTTTCCCCCGTTCCAGGGCCTCCTTTAATAGTCCTGAATTTCACACCAGGTTTGAAGGAGCTAGATTAGTGTATACAAAGCCCTTTGAATCACTCAGATGAAAGGAAAAGATTCATCATAATGATGATTAATTAAATGGCCCCATGATGGCAGCAGAGAGTGAGTAATAGGAGAGAACTTTTGGATGCTTGAAGGCTGACTGCCTTTGAGAACTTAGGGTAATGGGATTTACTTACCTTCCAACTAAAAATACTTCTTCCCTTCTTACCAGCACCAAATGAAAGGGCTGTGGAGAGCGAGAGACTGCCCAGTGTTCTTTCAGCATCAGTGGATGCAAAGGAAGTCTTTAAATAGGGGGGTTTTCTCTCCTTTAAAAGTTCCCTTGTTGTAGGAAGCTCTTTTTCAGGCCTGCCAATGGGGAGAAAGGGGACAGTTGCTTTAGGTAGAGCTCGGTGATTCAAAAAGGCCCAGTTCTCCCAGCTGCAGCTGCTGCCACAACTGCGGCAGCGTCTGGAGCCCCCATCCCATTTGAATTGCCACTGGAGCGCCGCTCCACAGCCCAGGTTAGGTCTGAGGGTGGGGAAAGGAGGGGAGTGCATGACGTGGTCCCGGCGATGCTGAGGGCTGGTTATCCTGGTCTTGCCCTTTCCACCCTTTCCTGGGCGCATGAAGCCGCTGCCCCCAGTGTTGCCCCCTGGCTGTCAGCCCCTCTGTTCTCTTTATAGTATGAAATCCCCTAGCTCAGTGGTCTCCAACCTTTTTACACCCAACATCACTTTTTAAATGTCAGAACAAGCCAAGATCTACCGCGCCATCCTTCCCCCAATACCCCACCCCTTCTTGAAGCCCTCTTTAGTCTCCTCCTCTCCATCACTTGCTATCCCCAGCCCTTATACACTCTACACTGCCGCTTTTTTTTTCTAATTCTTCTGTAGGAAGAGGTTTTTCCAACATTTGGCCTGTCTACACTGGACCAAATATCAGAAATACCCCTTCTTTCAGAAGCTCACTTATTTCTCAGGGAACGAGGAATATGGGGGTTACCGAAAGAGCATGTTTGCTCTCCCACTAAAAAAAGCTGAAGAACAAACCCTGGATGCTCTTCCCTGGATGCGGAAGAGTTTTTCCGGGATATCTCTGGAATCCTCGAAAAACTCCTGCAGTCTAGCCGTACCTCACTGGGTTGAGACAGAATGTGTGAGCTCTGAGGGATTTGTGTGGGAAGGGGTGAGAGGTGCAAGCTCTGGGAGGAAATTTGGATGCAGGAGGAGGTGGAGAAGGGGACGCTGGCTCCGGGAGGGGGCTCCAGGCTGGGCAGTGTTGGGGTCAGATGGAGAGTAGGGGTACTAAGGAAGCCACAGGTTTGTGGATGTGAGGGTGCAGGAATTTGGGTTGAGGTATGTGAGGGGCTCAGGGCAGGAAGGTTCAGTGTATGATAGGTTCAGATCTAGGGTCTGGGGGGAGGGGGTGCAGGAGCGTTATGATGCTGTGGCCAGATGAGGGCTTAGCCCCAATTGTGGACTTGTTGGCCAGGCTTCATTTTTAAATAAAATATTATGTCACACACAAAAGGTTTCAGCATTGTCTTTATTTATGAGAGGGGTGGGGAACCTGTTTTGAGTCAGGGCTCACTGACCCACAGAAAAGTCAGTTGGGGGCCACACAAATGAGATGCAAAAAAAAAAAAATCTTCTCCAACCCCCTCCCCAGCCTAACTAATGTGGCCCCCAACTGTACTGGTGGGAGCAGGGGACATGGTACAGGGAAGGGTGCTAGTGGGTGCTGGGGTAGGGGACAGGGTGCCGGGGGGCAGGGACAGGTTTCTGCAGCAGGAGACAGGGTGTTGCTGGGGGCAGGGGACA